TAAATAATTGAAGCTAATAACATCTGAATCCAGTTATTACTTCTATAACTTGAACTGTTATTTTTTTTTTTGGTAAAACTATTATAGTATCAGCATTCCTCTTTAAAAAACACATCAAATTTTAATTCAAAAAAATATTGTGGCTAAAAATAAATAAATATTAAGATGCAGAAAATGTTTTGAAATGTTAGCAAGAAAATAAGATATCACAGCGATTTAAAGAGCTAATATTTTTCTAGATAACTACTGCCTAATGATTCTGTGATTTATTTTATGATTTCTTTAGTTCTATTTAGAAAGGGGCCCAACATAATCCCTAACCAGATGTGCCTCAGGAAACAAGATTTTGATTGTATTTCTCATTTACTCTTTGGCTTCCTCATTAATTTTGTTTGATGACACTTTTAGTATATTATGCTGTTTTTCTTTTTGTTTGTTTTTTAATGATCAGCAGATATTTTTGAAACTTGTTCAGATTCATATATGTTTGAAATAAATAATAAAATGAATATATAGAAAAACTGGACTCAAGTCAAGAGATTGGCACATTTTCCAATGACAAATTTCACACAAAAAAATATATAAGATATAAGATATATATAATATATATTGAATGACACCCATCGTTTCAAAAACAAACAAAATACATAGCACCCCTGTCCTCCTTTTTAGATGCATGCACGTTGCAAAGTCGAGAGAGACAAAGATGTAGCCCCCTGTTTTGGAAACCCTGAGAATTTTCATATGGATGGCTAACAAACCAGGAAGTAAACAGAGGTGAAACAGTTCACTGACTAGTTCCCCACCGTTCCTTTAGGTTTGAAAGGAGAAAAGCTTGACTTACCCTGTGTCACGGTTGAGTGGAGGTTTTGAGGACCCAAAAGCAGAGATGAGGAGGCAGAGATGAGTTTTGCTGATTTAATAAAACATCCCTGGGCAACAGAGGCAAAAATACAAAATACTGAGAACCCAAAAAAATCCAATAAATTTCAGGGTGAACACACATGGGGAGCAATTAGATGATGAAGCAATAAAACAACAAGAAACCAGCCAACAGGAACTGCATAGGTGGTGTATATATGTGGGAAACAGAACAAAGAATGGGCTAATGAGCTGATATGGAGCAGGTCTGAATAGAACAAACTAGAAGGGAGCCAATGACAAAGGAACAGGAACAAGGGGCAACAGAGAGTGACTCCAGAAACAACAAACTGACAGAAAACAACTGAAAGAAACTAAAAATAAACTTAAACAGAGGGCAGAACCCTGACACCCTCAGATTCCACATTCTCCGCGCCTGCGCTGTGCGGCTCATGTCCGACTGACTGACCAAATATGTTATCATGTTAATTGAAGGGAAAAGTTACACATTCTTCATGACTTATCCGAACATCACCATTGATTATACAACAACTATTAACATTCAGTAAGGTCCATGGCTAGTATAGGCAGGATCTGCCAGAGATTTAATTGCATAAATATGTCAACAATTATGTAAACTTAATAATAAACCTGCAAAACTCAAATACCACTGTTAAAAACGTAGCCCTTTTCTGACATCAGCAGATTATATTACGCACAATTACAATTAAACAGTCACCACCAATTTATTTTCAGAGACATAAATTCCCCTGTTTTCTTTTAACAGGATTCACAGAAGCTCCCTAAGAGAAGAGCACTAACTGAACTTCACACTATAACTTTGTTGTAGAAGACGTCTTTTTTGTTTGGCACATTCTTTAATTTCACAAGTCTCTCCTTTGCAGTAGTAATAAGCACTAATAATGAAAGCCTGTCCTGCTCCATCATATTACGACTTTAAGTCTTGATGCGCTTAAAGCCTGTTCATAAAGCCTATGAACATCGGCATTTTTTCTAGAAAGAAATAATTTCTCTGGAAAGATGAATCCCAACATATTAACTTAAAAAAATAGGTGTATAATAAAATACTAAGAAGATTAATGAAGCAGGACACTTAATGTAAAGGATTTACAAAGCCTTATTCCTCTGTAATTGCTCACCAAAATATATAGGAGTTTTATGAAAAATAGATCAATCTAAATAGAATCAGGGAGCCTTTGCTGGTGCTGTTGGGGGGGATTGGGGGGTGTTTTGGGTTGGTCCTTGGAGATGGTCCAGTAGAAAAAAAGGTTATGCAATTACTACAAATATTTGCCGGTTGATGAAAACCTTCATAATGAGTTCGAAAAAAAACAACAACCTATAATGTCTCTGTGTTACTGTCCCAGTAGCTGAAGTATTAAAATCTGATATTTATGTTAACTGTGCTTAGGATCTACAACTTAGGCAAAATCGCAAAAAAAAAATTAATAAAAAAAGAAAAAAAAAAAATATATATATATATATATTACATCAGCGCCTTTTCAATGAAGATGACTTTAAACTAGACTTAACTTTAAAGAAATACACTCTATACATTACATGTTTTTTTTTACATATAGAGCTGAACTAGTCTTGGTGTTGACTTGGTCCTTCTTGGAATTGATACTCTCTGGTCTTAGTAGTGTGGGGTTATGGTATACGTATATCCAGGTAATAATCTGGATTCAGGATTTTTTTTTAAAGATTGTCTAACAGTTCCCAAATAAACCAGAGGGTGGCAGCTTTGACTATTGACAGCCTCAGTATTGGACTCAAAAAGTCCGAGGGTATTTCACTGAAGACAAAGAAAGGGCAACGTTGGTTTGTTTGCAGGATCAATTGAAAACATATGAACAGACTTTGTGGATTTTTTATTTTTTAAACCAGAGGTGTGCCTCATGTCAGGGAACAATTAATTTTAATTTGGTAATGATGCAGATCATATGCGAGTTTTATTTCTCTGCCTCTGCCAAGCCGTCAGACCTCTGCTGAATGCTTTTCTAGTATTGATTATGGTTTTTAACCATTATTCATTCCTGCTTTCATGTGTAAATAGCTAGCAGCTTAGTTAAATTGGGTTTCACTATAGTCAAGAGTTTTTAACTAAAATGTCTTTGTCTTGAATTACTTTTATTTATAGATTTTTATATTTTGAATCAAAGTTGTGGTGAATTTATTCCATATATGTGCAAAGTTATCTGTCTGATCCTTTGAGCTCAATTCAAACTAGCATTTTAACGGCAGCACCCTGTCATGGGAATATACTGACATGGCAAGAAGGGATCCAAAAATGCAAACCCAGGAAATCAGAGTTGGTTGTGGTGACTAAAACATTGAATACAAATCACAGATTTAATAGAGGGGCGCTCTTATCTGTTGTCCTTTTTTTGGCTTGTGACATACTGGGGGAAAAAAATAAGAATGAAGATGTGGGACATCCTTCAACTTGACCTTTAAGATCAATTTGATTTTGAATAAATAGACACCTAACATGTTATACGAGATTCTCTGTTGCATACATTAAATTGACTTTTACTTTTTGTCTTCGCTACAACCTCACCAGGGGGGTTTTGTTTTACCATTAGGTAATTCTACGCAATTGCCACAAAACTCTGTTTACATGTATAGCTAATACAACTATTCAACATTATTTGTGCACATTAATTTTTTTTTTGATTAAAATCCTTTTGCTAACATGTCATCAGAAAGCTTATAATATTAAGGATGTCTCAGCCCCCCCCCCTTCAGTGTCCACCGCATTGGATCAGTCCATTTGCTGCACATGTTTAGAAAGGTCCACACAGACAGCAGCATTACCTTTTGTAAAGAAACGATGCGAAGAGCATTATTGCCAAGTTAGAATGTTTTGTCGCTATATTTAGTGACTTTTCAGACTCCTCTAGCACTTTTATTTAAAAAAGCGCCTGGTGCCAAATCTAGCAACTTATTTCTGCTAGTGGAAACTTTAGCAACAACATATAAAAGCACCGAACTCTGCTCTCCTGAGCAAGTAGATTTGCTCCTGCTCTACTCTGTCCTTTATGCCGTCATGATTCATGCAGCTATTATTTCATACAAATGAAAAATGAAGAACAGATAAGCAAATCATGGCTTGTCTACAGTGAAAAGAAGGACAGGGTTATTTACTTTTGCCATCACCTTTTTGGAAACACAGGAAGGAGCAACCAGCTAAGTGAGCTTAATGCTTGGAAAAAATCCTTCCTTTTGAGACAGCATGAAAAGTCAGCTGAGTACAAAACATAGAGATGATAGAACAAGTAAAGGGACAAAAAGAGAGGGACAAAAGGTAGAACAAATAATGTATGTATATTCTATTAACATTTCTGTATCTGTATAATGGATCTGTTTTATGTGTTGTCTTCTCAATTCAGAGGGCCCCATGCCTGTTTTTTGCCTAGGGCCCCAGATTTCCTAAATATGCCCCTGGTCTTCACCACAGCAGTCAGTTGCAAAATCCTGTGGGGACAGAACAGATGCAACATAGTGTTGCAACTGTTCTTTGCTCTATGTACCATTTTTGCACTAGCTATTAGGCCCATGATGCCCATGACTGTTAAAAGCAAACAAATAATCTAAATCAAGCAATGTAACTGTTATGTTGTTCATACAGGCAATGTGAATCTGAACACAAACAAGCAATCATAAAATATATATATATATGTTTTTTACTTTCATGTTCAGTTCTCCCTGATGGGGTGATTGGATGTGGCTGTTCTTTTCCAGAAAGAATGAGGAGATAAATAAATATGTCCTGTAGGATTCCCATGAGTCCAGCTGAATACTGTTGATTAAATCATCAACTTTGTTACTGAGACACACTGCAGCTCTCACTGCTATCCCCTAATCTGGCAGAAGATGTATAGCTGAGCAATGCTGGTGATGATAGAATGAGCAGATTTATGGTAATGGAGATGTCTAAAATTATTGTCTAATTATTTAAAAAGCCATGTGTCAAGGAGGCTGATTAAAAATACATGTAAAATGTTGATGATTTCAGATGGTCTAACAAGTCTGATAGGTTTGCTCTATCAGGCTGCCCTCATCTAATGGATGCTATTTTATTTAATTTTTTTTTATATTTCAGACTTTGCTAAAATGGCATATTTATCTATCCTTTATCTATTGATTTATTTCCTCTGTAAATCCTGTCAAAATCTGCAAAGCCTCGCTTTTCAAGCCTAAAAGATCCCCAAATCTTCAGTTTTTGAGTCCTAGACGGTTTTCACAGTAAAAAAACTAAAGACTTTTAGCCAAATTTCAGCAAAAAGAGACCAAAAGCTTGATCACGTCCTGTGTCTAATGGCAGAAACGTCTTAATTTCTCAGAGTCAGAAAACCACAGCAGATACTTAAAACCCCAGACGTTGTGAAACTTCTTTCTTTTGCTATCTATATGAACCCAGAATTACACAAGCAGCACACTTCACATGCTATGATCGACCTCCTTTATAGTCTGAGGAAACACCACAACTCATCCGGAAAATAATGCTTAAACGGTGAGCATATTTGAATTTGTTTGATGTTTTAGAAAATATATGGCTTTACAACAAAAATTACTAAATGTCTTATTTAAATATTTGATACTTTTCAGCATCCTTTAAACATTTATTAGTAAGACGTGGGTTTGTGATTGCTTTCAGTCTGTAATAAATGATCGTTCAGCTGAACTGCCCTAGAATGTCTAATACCTTCAAAATCTCTGAGAAGGCCTGCTTGATCTTCAGCAAGATTTTAATCTTTAACCTATATATTATAATCATAAAAATAGCTATAGTTACAAATGTAAGTTCCTACAAGCATAACGCTATCCTGCAGAACAAAATGTATCGCAAAGCAACATAATTATTCAAACTCACATTTCTGTCATTCTTTTTGCTAAAGTCACTGATATAACATCAGATCATGAGCTCTTGAGCAGTATGTTAGATGGTCAGTCACTTTTAGACCCTTTCATGTGTGAGCTAAAGGCACATGAAGTACGTTATAGTCAACCTATGACTTAGGTGTTAAAATCTTTAGTCTCTTTGTCCCAGAGCGGGACTGGATATTACTGTAGGTTTCCTCAGCAATGCACCAACGCGACAGGCCATGACTGCCTTTCAATATGTTGAGATGGAGGATAATAAAGGACAAACATGCAAAGCAAAAAAGCTCAGCTTAATAAGCATTAATAGCATATTTGTTTTTGTGCCACAAGTGCCACACGGGCACAAAAAAAAAAAAAAAAAATAGAAAGGCAGGAGGATTCAGATGAGGAGGATAAGGGAAAACAGGGACAGACTTAGGACATGGTCAGAATAGCTGCTAACAGCAAGAAAAAAAAGCAAGAAAAAAAAAGAAACTTAGCATAGATACAACTAATTATTTAACAGTTAAGCGACAGGAATGAGTTATAGTACATTGTAATAAAAACAACGAAGTTATACTATCACTTTATTTAAGACAAAAATAGGTTAATATTTAGACAAATATTACTTTTGTCTACTATAAGCAGACAGGAGTCGTGGCCTGTTGTGCAACTTTGAATAAAGACCAGTCTCTATTATAAACCAAACAAACAACTCTACGTAGACCAGCTTTTTCGTCTAGGTTTGACTCTGATACTGCTCACTTCTGGCAGAAATCAATTTAATTCAATTCAGTTTACTTATATAGTGCGAATTCACAACAAGAGATAGGAATTTTGGGTTATCATGAGCTGTATGCCAAAATCATCTGTATTAAGACAATAAAAGACCTTAAATATTTCAGTAAGTGTGCAATGAATCTAAAATATATGAATGTTCATGTTTTATTATTACATTATGGAAAATGATAAACTTAATCACAATTTACTAATATTTTGAGAAGGACCTGTACATGATGGTTTAGGAAATGAAAGCTGATTTATGTTGAATATCATGAGATGCTGATTTTGCAGTATTTATTTTCATATTTATGATGTAATACAATTTAGAAAAATGTTTTTTTATTTAACCAGGAAAGCCCTGTTGAGATGAAAAAAATAATGTAAATATTTTTGCAGAATGGAATCAGCGGTTCAGATGGTTTCTATGGCCTTTGGGGTCATTGGGCTGATTGGGGCCATCCTCTGTTGTGTCCTTCCTCTCTGGAAAGTCACCACCTTCATTGGAGCCAATATTGTTACCACACAGGTAACTAAAACTTGTAATTCAATGACCATCAAAAGGCATTTTATAGTTTAAATCACCAGATTAACCAGGTTTTACTTTTTAAGACCCCTTCATTTTCTCTACAGTATTATTGTAGGAGCTAAGTATGAAAGTTTCATTGGGATTCATAAATATTTTCATTTAGATTGTCATTGTATCTCATTTTACCTGAGAAAAAACAACATATACTTTTTTCAAATATCTGTTTCTGTGTCTTTGGCTGAATAGGAGCAACAGGAGGGTCTGTGGATGATATGTGTGACCCAGAGCACCGGACAGCAGCAGTGCAAAGCGTATGACTCTATACTGGCCTTACCATCTGATCTGCAGGCTGCCCGAGCCATGGTCATCATCGCCTGCATCTTCTGTGGACTCAGCCTCCTCATCCTGTTCTTTGGTGCAGACTTCACCACATGTGTGCAGAACGAAGATGCCAAGCCCAAAATCTGCCTGGTGGCCGGGGTTGGCCTGCTGCTGGGTGGCCTCCTGGTGATCATCCCAGTTCGCTGGTGCGCTCATTTTACTATTAGAGAGCTGGGAGCTTGCATCTATATCGGCTGGGCAGCAGGGGTTCTGATGATCATGGCTGGAGGTCTGCTCTGCTGCTTCAGCAGACCCAAGTCCAGCAGCTCAGGAGGAACCGCCAAGTACTACAGCAGCAGTGCTTCAGCTCCAGGCAAAAACTACGTGTAGAGGCTTTATGAAAGGGACTGGTGTCCAACAGATGGGTAGTAATGCAGGTGAACCAGAAAAAAAGTGAAAACGGGACACCAGAGTATGCTTGTAAATAATTGAAGCTAATAATTGGATAAAATTATTATTTCTTTACTTTGAACTTTTTCTTACATTTGTTGTGATTTTATGATCTGTTCAATTCCCAGCTAGCTGGGAATTTATGTTTCTGATACTTTAAGATGTGTAGGGGTGGTAAAATATCTTATTTAATCAGATATTATTTCGGCTGTTAAATACTGTTTATGAATACACGCCCTACTAGCTGTGTGTTAGAACAATAAATGAAAGAGTGATTCGAGCACTAATTATGGTCAAACAGTTAATTCTGCACAAACATGGGATAAATTCACCACCACTTCTGTTCAAAATATGAGAGTGTATTAACAAAAATCATTCAGCTCCATATTTCAGTTTAACACTCAACTAAAACTAGAAACTCAACTAAACTAAACTAAATTACTATGTACAAAGAGGAAGGTGAACATGGTTGAAAACCATGGTTGAAAGCCAAGGTTCTTCTGTCCATAACTTACCTAATGTTTATCCAGCCTCAAAGCCGTCCCTTGACAACACTGTGTACATCCATCAAACTTAATACACTACTACAGACAGGGTAAAGCAAGATGCTACCCTGCTGTGGCAAATTAATTTCAGGACATTTAAACGCAGAAGATCTAAAGTCCAAGATCCCATCTAACAAAGGACAAGAGATATGACAGAGAAGTATTCAGTTCTTACCAGCACTCAAGAGAGGATACCAGTCTGCAAATCTTTGTTTATGAGTCTTTTTTGTAATAAAAAAAAAATAACTTACTATGGTTGCTACGGTAACATATCATAAGAAGTATCCAAAAAGGGGGAAAAAAAAACAGTAAAAATCCTTCTGGTCACACAGCATTCAACACCAGAGGGAAAAAAAATGTTAAAAAAAAGAAACTAATCAACTAAAGGAGAAGCCGAAGTTCTTGCAAAATAAGAGGATCAGAGTCGAGCTAGTAGAGCTACTTCAACGTGCAGCCACCTTAAGCAGTGCACTTCTATGATTTCTAGATAACCAACAGGTTAAAAACCTATAAATAAATGTAATTATGGAAAAGGTTATCTAATGCATGGTTGCAACACTTTGCCATTGTAAAATCCTTGTAAATAAGCATTTTTTCATAACCTAACTTTTGGTTGAAATTATTGTCTGGAGAAATGAGAAGCTGATGTGATTTGGTCTAATATATTGGGTCTGACACAATGATGACTCATTAATAATAACTAACACATGTTCTTGCTGTAACAACATGTCAGTGTGTGAATGTTTAGATGAAGGACCGGTTGGGAATGGATGAGGTTGTTTTATTAGTATTTTGTTCTGTTTGTGATGATTTGAGGGCTGCTGAAATGTTGTCCTGTGAACAAGTAGTTGTACATGTTACAGCTGATGGAGATAAGATTAAATAAAATTAAATGAATTCAAACCTTCTTCCTGTCCGGTCTCAGCTTGAATGTGAAACATACTCAGGGTAAATTCAATAAATCCATCTACTAACCAAAGCAGGTTTACAAAGTAACTTGTAGTACTAACCTGGAGACTTGCTATCTGGCTTTCTAAAACTGGAAAATATTTAGCCCAGAAATCTTTTAAGTTCTCACTTATCTGACCTCTAGAAACAGGACCTTAAAATAAAACATGGTTTCCATTAAATATTACTGCCAACAAGGAGGCAATTAAAGTCCTTATTTGCATTAATTTATAAAAAGATTTTTGGTGCTCAGACCAAGGCACTAGACATGAAGCTGAGCACTGTTGATGATGTTAATCTATGGGAATGGGGATCTTTCCCCCGCATTTGACCATCATATGCAGCTTATAAAGGAAAGTCTGATGCTATTGGCTTTTGAGGAGGCTTGGAGGGCAGAAGAAGATTGGTACATCCGAATGACATGATAGTCGGGATATGCAGGTAAGGCTTTGCCGAATTATTATAATTATAATCAAGCAAAAGTAAAGTCAATCAAAAGAATAAATAGATTTCAAATCAATTGTTTTCAACACTACTCTCCGTATGTCCTACAATTTTTTTCTTTTTGCTGCCCTGCCCTACTGGGAAGACTCTAAACCAGGTATATGTTCAACCAATATCCAAGGGAAACAGACTGAGACATTTCATAACCACTCTTTTTTTTTTTTTGCAGAAATGATGGCAAGTCCTCCTGCCTCTCAAAACTGTCTCCCCAAATATCTGAAGACATCTGCTGCAAATGAATCACATTTAAACTACACATTCCACAATATCAATAATGACATGTAATTAAATGGTGGAAACCCTGGTCTCTATTACACAGGCTGCATGCATTTGTAACTGTAGCAAAAGATAATTTTAAAATTTAATGGGTCCAGGAAGATGAATGCAATTATACTCTACATATAATCATTTTGCTTGAGGTTTAAATGTGTTTAGCATTTACAATCAGATTAGCAAAACTGATAGGTTTCTTCAGAACTCTACAGGAAGTCAAATTTTTTCTTCCTTATATTAAAGCCTTTGCTAATAAGGCATATCTATCTATCCATCTTTCTATCTGGGGATTGCTTCACAGTGCAAAACTTCAAATCTGCAAAGCTTAGTTTTTCAAATAAAAAATACCCAAAATCTTGCCAACCTCTTATTTTTTATATCTAGTTTGTGAGTCACAGAACATAGGTCAATGTAGATCAAATAATTAATATTCTACCTACATTTTTGACCAAAATAAAGGGACCTAAAGCATGATCTCTTCCTGTTTCTATAGACTTAGATGGCAATATCATGTTGACATTATCTCAATTTGCCAGGAACAGGAAACCACAGCTGATGTTAAAAAGCCCATGTTTAACCTCCTTAGTTTTATATGTGAAACCAGAATTGCACAAACAGCACTACTTTGCAGTCTGTGATCATCGTTCTTTAAAGTCTGAGGAAACACCACAACTGTTCCATATATTTTTAAAAAGGTAAGCATTTCCTTATTTTAATGTTGTGAAAAACATATCTTAGAAACGGAGTCTATTTTGATCAAAATCAACCGCACTGATGATAGAATTAGTATTCATTGACTTAATATATTGAAATATTGAAATTTTCAGCATGCTCTAAATATCTATGTGAGGGCACATTTGATTCTTGTTTACAATTAGTTTTTGTTTTGCAACCTATATAGAGTACTCAACTGTGCTGCTGCAGTCACAAATGTATTTTCCTACAACCATTGTGCCTTTTAAGAAGAAGTAAACTTTTTTCCCTGCAAAATAAAATGTATCGCCATGAAGCATTTTTTCTATAGGTGCACTAAAACCATGTTGAAGCTAAAACTCCATCTCTTACTGCTGTGTTGAATCTTTAGTATTTTTGTCCTGGGGCATAGGAGGCAATGCTGGGTGGGCTGACATGCAATCTTGGCCAGTCAAAGACGGTCATAATGTAATCAAAAAATGTATAATTAGCTTTTTGTATGTATTTATTTGCACCAAATGACCAAAAGATATGGATAAAAAAGCATATAATTTTTTTTAGACTGCAATGGTAGCTATATGATGCATGAAACATACATTTTATAATTTTTTTTTTCTTTTCATTTGCCACGTCTTTAGAATTAAAAAGTTGACGAAGCAAATTTTAAGATTTAAAAACTTGAATATCGGATAAAATTATAAAATGTCGTACAGTATGAGTTCATGCTCTTTACCTATTTAAATTCATTTAGATAAAATAGAAAAAAATCTTGAGTGTATTGGGGGCTTGACTAATGACTTCACTTTACCATCTTTAATTCTCCAAAACACACAAACATAAATACATTTTCATGTCTTAGCTTATCTTATCGTGTTGTAGGAAAGAAGCTGAACCTAAAAAAGTACAAATCCACATTAGTTACTTTAGTTAACATGTTAAAGAGGGACTTCTGTTTTAAAAATTTGTTGTCTTAATGTTTTTTTTTTGCCAAGCAATCCAGAAAATCAGTGAACAGACAGTACCAACTATAATTTACCTACTGCAAATAACGTTTTAAAGAGTTAATTATAAAGCTTTTTTTTCATTTAAATATAATAATATATCATATGTTTGTTTGCTTAAATGATGCTATTATATCAAAATAGATGATATGATCAGTTACTCGGCGCTACAGCAGCCTTTTTTTACTAACTGCTTTTTAGCGATTAATATAAAAAAAAAAAATTCTTTAAAAGACACAATTGGCATGATGTGAGTTACTGTATTGTGTATAACTAATGATTCTGTAGATCAAACATGATGTCTTTGTTTTGCTATATTTAAGCTATGTTTAAGCTTACCATAGGTTTGTAATCACGGGGCTTTAGATTGTGTCTGTGGACAGAAAATGAATTTTGTTTGTTGCAGAATGCGATCGTCAGCAGTTGAGAAGCTTTGCCTGGCCCTCGGGGTCCTCGGGTTTGTTGGGGTCATTGTGTGCTGCAGCCTACCTTGCTGGAGAGTGACTGCCTTTGAAAAAACAAGTTTTGTGACCCAAAAGGTAACAAATATTATAATTCAGAGAACACAAAAAAGTTCTTTATGGCATAGAAAATTAAAATAATTAAGTTTTACTAGCTGTTATATGTTTTCCTCCACATTATTGTATATGTAGTATTATGAATGTAGGTATATTTGAGAAGGATACTATTTACTGAACAGTCAGGTATTTAAAAATAAGTGCATTTTAATGACCTTTAAAAAAACACTGCTCTCCCTCATCCACCCCTCGTTCTGCTGGGTGGTTCCTTCATCTAAAGCTCTGGTCCTCTACCAGATTAATAGGAGTTTGATGGTTCATCTCATTATCTTAGACATCCCTAGAACGCCACATTTCTGGACTGAGATCTCTAATGTGTCTCCAGGTTTCTGTTGGAGCCACCTCTCCAGTGTGGAGAAACACTATAGCACTCGGGGCAGTAGCATGACCAAATTTCTTATGTTATAAAAATATTGTAGAAACTTTCTTACGTTTGTCATTTTTTTCACAGATTTTTTATTCCATGTAAATATTATTATTATATCAAAAACTTACATACTTTCATCTTATGGAATACTGGCCCTCCATAACAGTCTATGTGCGTGTAAACATTTTTAGACTGTCAGAAATATCAATAGTAGAATATATTATTGCAGAAAATGTTCTGTGGAGGTCAGCACAAATTAATACAGCAGAACATACAATTAAACCAATATCAAAAAAATTATTAAAGTTAAATATCCCAGAATGTTCTAAAACACCAGAACAGATCAAAAAGATGTGAAGTGCACTTAAACCAGTTAACTCATTTCAAATCTTTGAAATCCGACTAAGTGTTTTAAACAGATATAGAAAAAACATATAAATATATAGCAAAGACATGGAAAAGTGCATACATTTAATGAAACATGCATATCTTAAAAATAATTTTTGTGAAATTGATTACATAATATTGTATGAAATGAATGTGGATGTGGCAAATTTGAAGGGTAAATAATTAAAGCCTTATATGATGTGTTATTTATAAAACATAAACTGAAGATAGTTGAATGCTTACATTTTTTATGCTTCTCTTTGTTTTCCTGGAAGATTATTTGTCTGTATTTATTAAAGGTCAAATATGAATAAAATTAATAAATTATTTTTTTTTAAAAATCGTAATTTTCTTAAATATGTTAACTGTCTTTCTAAAAGTATCTCATTGATAGTTTGCCTGAATTCTTCACCATATAAGGTTATTTTATTTGTCATTAATGTATTTTGTAAAGTGATCAGTCCCCTTGTGCAAAGTACAGAACATAAGGCTACCCCCCTTACATTTAACAGTTAGGAGGGTGTGCTGCTACTTGCAAGCTTCCTCCTTTCTCCCCCACATGTACTGTAACCATAGACATCTGGTTTTTATGGTGCTAATTACTTCTTCCTCCCTGAGTGGCCTTTCAGCCCATGCTGGTAAAGGTCTAGTTTAATTACCGTAGTAATCATATTCTCTTAACTGCTTTGCTTTTAAATCAGAAATTTAAACCAAAATCCCGGCATCATTACCTTGACTTTTCTAGATTGTTTATCTAGTCATTAGATTATATTTTACATATGGAAAATATAATGTAATGACTTGGTTCTATCATTAAAAATATTATCCCATTATGCCTGCATTGAGCAAAAAAAAAAAGGTAAGGCAGTGAAAAAAAAAATTAAATACAGTGTTTGCAAATGCCTGTTTCTGTGTCTTTGGTTGTGTAGGTGGTTCAAGAGGGTCTTTGGAAGATTTGTGTAAAGGAGGGAAACAGACAGAAGGTTTGCAGTTTGTACGACTCCCAGCAGCAGGTATCCCCTGACCTGCAAGCTCCACGAGTCCTGGTTGTCTTCAGCTGCATCCTCAGTGGGCTCAGCCTCTTCATCCTGTTCTACGGTGCCATCTTTACCAAATATGCTCAGAACGAAGACGCCAAGCCCAGAATCCTCATGGTGGCTGCAGTGGGCCTGCTGCTGGGTGGCTTCATGGCGATCATCCCAGTCAGCTGTTCGGCTTATATCACTTTAAAAGATATCCTCCAACCTGGGTCACAGATCTTTCAGAAGACAAATATTGGAGTGTGCCTCGATGTCGGCTGTGCAGCAGGTATGCTGCTGATTCTGACTGCAGGTCTGGTCTGCAGGCTTAGCAGACCCAAATACAGCAGCTCAGGAGGAAAAGCAAAGTGCTACAGCAGCAGTGCTTCAGCTCCAGACAACAATTATGTGTAGAAGCTTTATGAAAGAGACTGGTGTCCACTAGATGGTTAGAAAAGGAAATGGAATAGAGAAAAGTGGAAAGGGGACACCAGAGATTGCTGTGTAAACACTGCCGGCTAATAATTGCATGCAAAAAAATTTTTAAAATTCTGTTAACTCTGTTCAAGGTTGTTTTTTTTTGTTTGTTTTTTTTGGCAAAAAATGTTTGACCTGTATATTTGATTTCTTATATATTGGGAAATTTGTATTATTCCCATTAGAGTCCTTGAAATGGTACCCTAGAGAAATACTGAGATACAGAAAATGTCTTTGTTAGTGGAATCAGATATCCGTGTTTATTTTCAATATAATATTTCAGCTGCCAAAAAATGTGCTTATTAAATCCCTTTTTATGTTTTTGCCATTTCATTTATAATTTCTTTATTCCTATTCAGAAAGCTGCCAGCTTAATTCCTAACCAGATGCATGCAGAGAACATTTTTATTAAAAAATTTTCTCAATTAATCCTTACTTTTTTTGCATTACTTTCTATTGATAAAACTTGCAGAGTAAAGAAAAAAAACGTCAGTCCAAACTGAACCCTCCCCCACCGGATAGCGCCGTTCACTCTACCTCCTCTGGCTTCTCTACTCACTCATCTACAAAGCAAACGTCGCTCTGTTGATAAACTTTTTCAAAAAGGAAAATTTAAAGTCTTGTCTTAAAAGTAGACAGAGTGTCTGCCTCACAGAGTAAAACGGGAGAGGAGCCTAAAGATTAAAAGGTCTGCCTCCCATTCTTTTATAAATTCTAGTAACCACACTTAAAGCTGTAGATTTACAGTGAAGCGCTCTGTAAGGAACATAAAGAACAATCAGATCTCTGATATAAGACGGGGCTTGGTCATTTAGGGCTTGATACAAATCTATTCTAGCTTTAACAGGAAGCAAATGAAGGGAAGTTAAAATTCCAGAAATATGAATCGACTTATGAACTTTCATCAGAACTCTGGCTGCTGCTTATTGTATCAGCTGAAGGCTTTTAACTACAGTTTATGGATTTACTCATAGTAAAGAATTACAATAGTAATTGAACTAACAAATGCATGGACTAGTTTCTCAGCGTCACTGGGTTCGGTCGTTGCCAGGAGAACAGTGCTTGTCTGACTGCCTTGTTTTGGTGGAGGGGACATTATGATTAAGAAACTATTAAAGCTTTAGTATACAATTTGGATGATTTCATGCTCCCAACTCTGTGGGAACAGTTTGGACCTTCCTCTGTGCACTAGAACATAAAGCAAGGTCCATAAAGACATGAAAGGCGGAGTCTGATGTGGATATAGCAGACTGGCCTGCACTCTATAGAACATGTTTGAGATGAATTAGATCGGAGACTGAAACCCAGGCCTTTTCTTCAAGTGTCAGTGTGTGACCTCACAAATGCACTTCTGGAAGAAGGTCAGAAATTTACAGAAACATCACAGAACCTTGTGGATAATTTTCCCACAAAGAGGTTAAGCTGGTCTAGCTGCAAAGGGTAGACCCCTATGGATTAGGAATGGGATGAATAGATCATATGCAGGTGTTAAAAGTATTAATGTTTATTACTCAAGTAGAAGTGTAAATTTCACTGTTTAAAAACACTTTTGTAGAAGTTAGGGTATTAACTTCAGCTTTTAAAAACTACTTAAAGAATAAAAATAAAAGTAATGCAGGGGAAAAATGTTAAGGACAGAAGCTATTGAAGTAACAATTCAAAAATTCTGGATAATAACTTCCACATACTTAATTTTCTTAGAGTTGAGTCGAGTCCAACCACAAAAAAATTGTCTAGATGAAACAGATGATTTTGACAGGCCATAAAAATAATTAGCCTAAATGAAACAAAACTAACGAGTCTATTTGTAAAATGTAAAGAGTAGAAAGTAGAAAAGCAAAAAAAAGTAAGGAATAGAAGTAAAAAGTTGTCTAAAAAATAATTTCTTCAGTAAGGTATAGATAACCAAAATTTCTATTTAAGTTAGGTGACACCTCTGGTCATATATAAGTCAATGAAGGCGAGTGAATACTTCTGGCAAAACAAATACAATACATGTCAGGTTATGGAGGTTTTTGAGGACTCAAATGCAGAGACTGAAGCAGAAGGGGTTTCTTGCAGGTTTAATAATCCAAAGGGAACAGAAGCAAGTCCAAAAATAAAACACTGAAAGCCAAAATCCAGGAGAAATCAAAGAAAACATAAGTGGCAAAGAAACAACGAGGAACCAGCAAAAACAGTAACTGAAGAGGAGGAGTATAAATGGGAGACTGAACAAAGACCAGGCTAATCAGCAGATTGGGAACAGGTGTGGACAGAAGAATCTAAAAGGGAGCTGGGAGAGGGAGACTGACACAAGAGGGCAACGGAGGGGAAAGAAGAAATAGGCTACATGACAACTAGAATAACAGCAAATGGAAACAAAACCATTGAAAACTCAAAACTAAAACTTGAACAGCACCAAAAGCATTATTTCACTTTCAGAAATAATTGTTAACATCTAAAAAAAAGTACGAAAAAAATATATTTTGCTTCTACCTATATATAAGATTAATTAATTAATTCTACTTTAAAAAGTAAGTTATCCAAAGTTCTTTTATGAGCAGCAAAAATAATAATTCAATAGCTGCCTGCATGTGTTACTCCTGAGGAAACGTAATCAGAATCTTTTACAAAAGAGCTTTGTCTGTAAAATCAAAGATTGTGATCTGAAATTCCACAACATTGTATTTTATTTATAATTCTAAAATAATAATTAAAAAGCATTATTATTTCGCCATAATGCACTGATCATTGAATAGAATTACTCAGACAGGAAGGTAAAAAAAAAAAAAAAAAAATTGTCCCTTAACTAACTGATATCAAATGCTGGTGCACATACCAAAAACAGGTCAGGTTATTAAAATATTTCAGGTGCTTTTTGTGCTTTTGAATTTGGTTAGAGAAAAGGCTAATTCTCTAGCCAAGAATTGACAAACGGTTATGTGTCACCTCAGTGCAACAGTTTAGGAGCTGCTTTATTTCGTGCAACTTGTAGTTTTTATCTCATCTGTCCAGAGAATCTTTTTGTTTCTTTTACTATTTCTCCTATGGTTTGTGGCAAACTGCAGAGGGAACTGCTCATGGGTTTTTATGTATATGGCAGATTATGTTTGTTTTCTACTGTTCTGTGGGAAACCTGCTTGGCCTTTAAGGAAACACTTTTTATATGTGAACAAAGCACTTCTCTCACTTATCTATAGAATAATTATGCTTCCATTTTTTACAGTTCAAGTCTGTCCTAATAAAGGTTGGTGTACCTAATAAAATCTATATAAAAAATGGTTTTCTGGTTTGTATCACATCTCTTTTACCTCTTTTAAAAACATTAATGTTTAAGATGGGCGAGCATTGACATCAGTAGCTTTAATACTAATTTGAGTTCTTATCATCGGTAAAATTTTTCCCTGGGAAGAGAAACGATAAACAACATTCACACCAATTCATCAATTCACATCCTTTCTCCTCTTCTGTACATCTTCACTGTTTCAATGGATCCATTAGACTTTAACTGTGGCCACCACATCATGAGGAGCATGTTTCTCGGTCTCTAAAATAGATTATTTCATGTATACAAGGTATAACAAAAAAAAATGTACTGCTAAAAATGTCTGCTAAACGTGACAAACCCCATTATAAGTAAAACATGATCGATCTCAGTGTAAAAGATTAAAACCGTAAAATGAAAAAATGTTCTACACAGCCGACATGTTCAGAGCTTCAGAATAAGGGTCAATAAAAGCACAGATTTCACAAGGCAGAGGTATAATATCAGCGCTTCCCTTCCCATTGTTATCAGATATAACTCAATCATCAAAGCATCAGAGCTCTGACATACAAAAGTAACAATGGAAACAATGACACTGATTTGGGCCATTCTCCAATCTAGAAATCTCTGTCAGTACTAACCAGGTAGGTAGGATTTGGTCATATTGGCCACTCTAGATGTCCATCACTAGTACATCCCATGCAGGGGTTTTTCCTCCTATTATGATTCCTTCTCTTCCATCTTCCATTGTGTGTGACATTCATTTAGCACTTCATCCCTTAAGGCCATCATCCAGATGGATGCTTAATCATCAACGGTGACTTTGATCCTCAATAGACCTCTCCCTCCTTCTTTTCTCTAGGTGTATGTTCTGTGAATACTGGATTTGGGTTGGAATCCACAACACATTATGAGTAGCTTTCGTGTTTTAATATCAGTGACCTGAAATTCCTTCTTAGGCCTACTTATTACCCCAGAAGGTTATCTGATTACTGACAAAGCATAGCATTATAAATCACAATTCAGTACAAGGCCAATATAAAGTGCATTAAATGAATTAAACAACAAAATAGAAGAAAAATAAAAGCAGACCTTGTCTAGACCTTTTTCATGTCATTGGACTGACTTTTCAGAACTTGCCTTAACCGTTGCAGGTATTTGGCTGTTGCAGCTTTCACTGTAGCCTCTTTGCGGTTGCCATTTTCCAACTCTCTTTGTGAACCAGAGTCAGAGTTGACCTGTTTTCAGGTTTGCACAACTCAGAGTTTTTGGTAAACCTGCCTCATGAAACAAACCCCAGGTGTTCATTTCAAATAGCTTGACGCCACAGTTTTTGCAGGAACATCAATGAAGTCTCATCTTGTATGCAGAAAAACGAGAGGAGACTGTGTATCTACATTGGATGAGCTCCTGCTTCACTGATAGTTCTGGCTGGAGGTCTGCTCTGCAGATAAGGATGAACCACAGTGTCCCAGCAACAATCCTTTCAGGCTTGAATAAAATCTGCAAGAAATTCTATATGAAAGAGAGTAGGGGGTTACAGGTGCTACTAGAGATTGCTGCAAAAAGAATAGATCCTGCATGCTAAAAATCACTTGTGCCCATTATAATTTCCTGTTTTAATTTTTGATAGTTTTATTTCTATTGCAAAATGGCTTACTCGACACAAGCCAGAACAACTGCTAAACTTTAGCAACACTGCTAAACTAGTTTTTTTTATATATATATATATATATATATATATATATATATATATATATATATATATATATATATATATATATATATATATAAGCTTTGATTTCAAAGAGCCCCATGTTTGGAAAACAACAGCAGAGAAACGTGTCCACCTAGAAACCCTTACCCAGCTCAAATCCTTCCTGTCAGTAAATCACCTGCTTCCTGACTGACCAGCAGCATCGAGTGAAGCTAATGAACATCTTCTTCTGCACAAAAATCTTCTCTCTCCACTCTAGAGTCTAGATTCAGGAAGTGTAATTTTAAAAACCTTTTCTCTGATTTTATATGTATGTTATGGTTCCAAATATATTTAAAGACAGAAAGATTAGCATTGTGTATCTTGTGCAAAGCATTTAAAATAGAGACTAGAACAGGTAAAATCAACAAGTACTGGAGTTGTTTGTCTGGACTGGAGCCTGTCAAAATCATTTGTTTCATCCAGACATTTAGCTGGCTGATATGTTTTAAGCAGTTTTTTTCTACTTTATGAGAAATGCAATAATATACTGTACAGAAATAAATGCATGAAATGAATCACTCTGTGGGTGATTGACTCTTATGTGATTTTTTATTTTATTTAAAAAACTCGTTCTATACTTTTTAAGGAAAGGTTAATTTTTCTGTCTATTTCTGTAGCAAGAACTCACACGTATATCTGGGTCTTTGTGCAATATAGCTGTTGGTTTTCTATATGTAATAAAAAGGAACAAAAAAAAAGTTAGAGCGAAGGAAGACTTTGGAAAATACAGAGGACTTTTATTTTAAACACATATATTAAAATATAAATCAAAAATTGTTCCCACAGACAAACAAAACAAATTCAAGCTTCAGGCTAAAACACGTTTTCTGACATCTGCAGTTTTGATCTTCTCCTGTAATTCACAACAAATATTAACAGAAGTTTTCTTCCAGTTTTTTTTTTTTTTTTGCTCCTTTTTTTTTGCTTTTGATTTTGCTCTTGTTTATAGTTTTCCTTCCTTCACATTTTCTGAATTTCTAAGCTTTTAATTTTTGGTCTCCAGCTCTTTTACACGATTGGTCAGCTCCTCTAGAGCTGCTTTCAGGTCCTGAACCTCCTTCCTTAGAGACTGGACCTCCTGACAAAACAGAAAGGTATGTGCATTAATACATCAAAGTGCAGAATTTTAATAAGAAATGGCCCAACCAGGCACCCTTAATCCAAAATCAGTAAATGTTCCAGTCTTTTCTCACCCCGCTGCTGTCTGGTTGGCCTACTGCAGTGGCAGTGGTGGTCTTCAAGAGGCTCTTGTGGACTTTGAATTCCTTGGCCTTGGTGGTGGCTACAAACCCATCCTTTAGGGAGATCAGAACAGGTGGAGCTTCTTTCCCATTAAACCACTCATCAGCTTCAACCGAGGGCTCTGGGCCGATGGTGTCAGGGTACAGGTCCTCCTGGAACAGATCCGACTACGCAGCCAAAAGAGGAAACAGTGAGCTAGTTGCGACATAACCTACTGTACAAGGATGAGTCTCACAGTGTTTTATTACTCACCTTGCGTGGTACTGTCATTACTATGGGTTCACATTTCCTCTCAAGGAGTTTGTAGAACCTGAAGATAGAAAGATTTGAATAAGTTATCACTCAAATTGCTAAAAATATTAAGACAACCCACCATTTCTTTACCTGTTGGTCGTTTTGGGGATAAAACTGTGATTTATTTGAGGCTGTAACTTTGCTAAAATATAGTTAAATTCATCCTAACTGGAGAAATATGGTTCTGCTTGTGGCCTCAGAGGAAACTGGGTTCCTTTATGACGATATTTAGCCCCTCCAGGAGCAGCTTAGAAACAAAAGGTCTTAATTCAAACTTCAAACCAGCTTCAGATCCAAGCAGCTTCGCTTACCTTGCAATTTCACACTTGTTGACCTCCAGGCCTCTCTTAGGCATGTATCCCATCCCTTTCTGGCTCTCCTTGCTACTGTACATGGACAGGTAGTGGACATAAGGAGCTTCATCTGTCACTTCAAAGTAACGGATGCTGCTGTCTCCCTGTAAGAAGGCCATCAAAGAAAGCCTTGAGCTGTTTGTGTCTTTGTGGGTGAGAATCACAGACTGTTTCCCAATCTGAAGCCAACCTTTCCACAGAGGTAGACGATTCCAGTGTCTGGGTCAAAAAAAGGGAGGAGGACGCCGCTGCCTGTGTCCAGCTCCTGCAGGGTCAGTGGCTCTCCAAAGTTGGTCTATGAAAATACAATCGTGTAGAATGTTTACTGCTTTCATAATAACCAAAGGAAGTCCTTAAAGAGAGTCGACAGACTGGCAGTAAATAAGGGATTTATTTAACTGATGCCTCTGCGGTTTCTTGCAGAGATAACACCCGATGTGTTGCAATCTGGCTGTTGTGAAACAGCTGGGTGAAAATCTTCTGCAATTCTTTCTGACAAATGATAAAAGTGGGATTCTGTTTACATTTTTTGAGTCTTATTGTGCAAGATGTTCTATGTAGTTTTTTTTTTTTTTTGTATATATTAGAACAAATCTACTTGCTATTGTTAGTCAATTTCATTTCTTTTTAACTGAGCCATACATTCTTTTAAGGTGATCTTAAGCAATAGTTACTTTACTAATTGTTACTTTTCACATAGTCAGTATCCTGATTCTGATGTTGGCTCCTAAGGTCACTACAGTTTGTGAATAATGTAGCATAATAAATCCTAAAAGTAAAGGAATGAACTTGGGCTTTAAAATCATCTTATGCAAGTAATATAAATTTAAATAAAATAAGATTTAGTGATATGATCAAATTTATAGATTAACTGTAAAATATAATATTTTAAATTCCTACAAGATGTCTGGAGATTTGGTGATTAATAACTGCTTGGTTCAATAGAATAAAAGCATTTAAAATGAATATAAACTAGCTCCTTTTATTCAAATGCTAATATATAAAGCAAGAAACACATTCCACATGTTTTGCTACTAGTTTTAGAATTAATTTAGATTAGAATTAACCCAAACTGTTTCTCAAAATAAAGCCATAATTGAGAAATCGAAGTTATTCAACGTTATTAAACTTCATCCTCATTATTATTGTTGTTTTTAATATCATTATTCATAATAATAATTGTAGTAACACATTTATTATTATGGTTGTTCTATAAATTCTTTACTAAAACGACAATCACCCTGCTGCTGTCACTTACCGGGTCCCACAGCGCCACCTGCCGTTCGCTCATGCGACTGAAGCCGGTGCTCAGGATTTTCCCACCGGACACGAACACCGCCCTCACCGGCCTGGAGCCTTCGTGAGGTTTCTCCTTCTCCTGTAGGGGGCGCAGTGGAGCCACATTTCAGACACCAGGTAAAAACATCCTATTAAGTTATTGACAAATAATTGTTGTTTGTAAAAGTCACAATTTCGGACACAGTTAATCGCATCTTTTTCTCATTAATAGCTGTTTAAAATTATTATTAGCTAAAATAAAATATTGTAGTAGTAAATTCTATAAATATGTCAAATCTACTTTCTAATCTATATCCTAAATAGTACTTATTCTGTGACCTTTAATGTAAAAATGTTTATTATTTAAGTCTATTTTTTTTAACCAATTTAAAGTATTTTATCAGTTAATTCGATTAGATTAAAATATCAAAGCCTTTCCGGTAAGAAGTAAAAAAACAAAACTCCGGAATTCAGGTATGATAGATAAGAACT